AATCCCCGAAGTTTTCAAGATCGTCTGGAGAGGCGCTTTTTAAAAAAAGCCGCAAGATCTGGAGGCGTGAGGAATCGCCCTCGCCGGCGGAGGGGCCCCGGCGCTTCTTGATTTGCTTGTTTTTCGACCTCAGGAAGGGGGGGGGTCCCTTCCCCCGGGCCCCCCTCCGTTTGCGGCGAATAAGAAGGACCTACGAGCGCCTCGGAGTCTGTCCGGAGGCTTAAAATCGCGGGGGCTCTTGGGTTGTGGGGGTTGTGGTGTGGGAGTGGGCCCCCCGTTCTCTGCGGGGCTCCCCTCTTTTTTCCTCCTCTTTGCAAAGCCCCGAAGGGACGCGGCGAAGGCGGCAGTCTGGCGAAGAGTCCCGGTGGGTTGAAACTGACTAGACCGCCGCTGCCGAGCGCCAAGCAACCGGGGCTGAAATTCCGCAGCCCCCCGGCCTCCGCTTTCCCCCCGCCAGCTCTCCCTGCCTGGGGGGCCTCGCTCTTCCCGCCCGGCTGCGTGCATGTCCCGATGAGAGACCCAGCGTTCCCGGGCGCTGCGATGGCTTACCACCCCTTCCACGCGCCCAGGCCAGCCGACTTTCCCATGTCCGCCTTCCTCGCGGCCGCCCAGCCTTCTTTCTTCCCGGCGCTGGCTCTGCCCCCGGCCGCCCTGACCAAGCCTTTGCCGGATCCCAGCCTGGCCGGAGCCGCCGCCGAGGCCGGCTTACACGCCTCCGCTCTCGGACATCACCACCAGGCCGCCCATCTGCGCTCGCTGAAGAGCTTGGAGCCGGAGGAGGAGGTCGAGGACGACCCCAAAGTCACGCTGGAAGCTAAAGAACTTTGGGACGAGTTTCACAAACTGGGGACCGAAATGGTGATCACTAAATCGGGCAGGTAAGGCAGAGCCCCGCAGCCCCCCCCTTCTCAGGATATGCAGATTTACTGGGGAGGGGGGAAAAGCCCGCCTTTGTGTAATAATAATAACAACAGTAGCAACCCCCACAATAATAAGGTCGCTATCGCGCTACAATATTCTCTTGCAAGGTAAGCAACACAGAAGAAGGATAAGGAGTAAATCGTAATAATACTGCGATATGCAGAATGATTGTTGGCATTTATTGGCGGAAGAGGAAAAGCTAGCCCTTGTAACATCATAATAAAATAATAATAAGGATACATCAGGCTATTCCCTTTCAAGCTAAGTAGTGCAGAAAAAATAAGGAAGAGCCTGTCTTGGTACAGATTTATGTATTAGGTTTTGAGGCCACCCGACTCCAAAAGGAAATAATAATAATGATGATGATGATGATGATGATGATGATGATGATG